TCAAGCAGCCCTCAGAGATGGGGAGATGATGAACTTGAAAAGAACAAATAGCAACCTTGATCTTTCTAGCAACTAGAATTCTATTTCCCTCTCTGGCATCAAGTATGTGAAATACTAAACTTAATGCAACCGATCCCCTATTTTGAGGGACAGAGAAAACACGCATCTGGGATCCCACCCAAACGTACACTGATAAAATAGTTAGGCAGAACAGAGCCCCTAAAACCCACTTGATGGATTTCTGCAGTGATGAAAACCTTCAAAGGTGTACTGATCATGGAGGACTGCATTCAAGAGAACAATTATTTGGCTTTTGGCAGCCCAAAAGGAGTGGGAGTCCTTCAGGCCAGGATGCTGCTGAGAAGCTAGGGAAATGCAAACTAGTTAGGTGGTGGCTATTTGCTGTTGCAGCAAGAGGGGAGAAAAGTGAAGCAGTTTTATCTTTGCAAGTATTACAAGTGGGCCCCATAATCACCTAACTTTAGCAATAGCACCACCAGCTTCAGCCAAGGATTTGAGCACAATTTCAAAAAACCATCTTTTTTAGCAGATCAGCAAGCCATGCTTTCAAAGGGAACCCGTGCCCACACATGCCCGCGTGCGCGCGCGCACACACACACACACACACACACACACACACACACAATAACTTGCATTTGACTAAAGGAAATTGCAGTGTCTATGCGTTAAAAGGAAAAAAAACTTCATTTACAAGAGCAAAGACCAGAATGCAAAATGAGTCATTCTGAATAGCCACATCTAAAGGGACTTCCTTTTTTCTACACCACTGATCTCAGTTTTTTTGGTGGTTGTTGTGTTTTTTTGTTTGTTTTTGGTTTAGTGTTAAGGACTAGTATGTTATTAGGGAAAAAATTATCAGTATTACATCAAAAGTGGTGGTGAGAAAAGATCTGTACCTGTCTGAATGCCCCACAGATCGTGGTCAATTTAGGTTAAAAACTGTTCAGTCGTTTGGAGGAGAAAAAAAAAGTCAAATAACAATAATTGTTAAAAAGAAAAGGCAGCTGCACCTGGAGAAAAGACTTTGAACTCTTGTCCTTAACACATTAAAGTCTTAGAACATACACAGCATCTTTCCTATCTGCTAGCTTCCAGCAACCCCGATTATTTAAATCAAAAACAATGGAACAAGCAGCCCTTGTTTCAAACTGACATTACTTTTTTTTTTTTTTTAAGGTCCACTGGGGAGGCTGGGGACCAGCTAAAGAAAAGAGTAAAATTAGCTGAAAACCAAACAGCCTTTCAGTCCAACAAGAAAATACACCATCAACTAGTTGTATACATTGTCTGTTGCCACCGCCACCACCTCTTGCCCTCACATTTACCCTAAGTCACTTGCCTCTGGATTTCACAAACTGCTACGTTTCAGACAATTAAAGAAGAAATAACAGTATCTGCAAATACAACCAAGACTTTCCCATCCGGTCCCAGAAAGAATAAGATTTGTCCCCCCAATGCCTGAGCAAGAAAACCCAGGCTTACTTCTTAAACCTGCATGCACTGAAAAAGAGCAATTAAAAGTTGCAGATGAAGTGCTGCACCTCCAGGATGTTTTAAGCCTTCTGATTATTAATTCTGAGGACTCAAGGCTGGTCCGCAATTCCCAGGAATGCCATCCCCTCAACACTTCCAAGAGAGAGAGAAAGAAAAAAAACATCTAGTTTTGACAGGAGGAAAAAAAAAAAAAAAAAAGCCTGGATACACAATGCCCAGATATTTCTTTTCCCCAAGTGCCCCTACTATTTGACTTTTAACCAAGAATATCTAACCCAGCTAGAATATATAACCAGCATGCACAAGACTCTGGTTCTACAGATGAGGATCATCGCACAGCAATTCAAGAATCATGCATCATTCGCAAGGACTTTTCCTTTAGCTTTTTACTTTCATTCAAAATACCAAACTGGTCCAGGCTGTAAGAAATATTTAATCCCCAAGACACAACATCTTCCTCTGCTAGATCACAAAAGAGTGAACATCAAAATAAGAAAACCATGCTTCCCTAAATCTGCAATTAATTTTTTTTTTAAATTGGGGTGGGGGGAAGGGAATGGTTAGCAGAGCAGCTTTATATAAGCACTCACCTAAAACAGGCAGAGTCATCGGGAGCTAAGCTATTTATGCAGGATTCTTAAAATGGCGTCTGGCAACACTGCCTCATTCCTGTATTGAAGCTAAAATGGTAGCAGGTTGTTCAATAGCTGTAGCTCTTGTGGAAGCAGCCCTGCTAGTTTCAAAGCCACCTTCCTAAATATCAGAACTAGGAAAAGCTCAACCAAAGGACACCAACAACCCAACGTTTAGAAGCTTAAAAAAAAAAAAAAATCTGCAATGACAGGGGGAGTTTGTGAAGTCACAGGTTCCTGAGGAAAACCCTTTCCCTTTTAGATCCTGAGCCTTCCACAGGAGGCTCTGAGATGGGGCCCCCTTACCCTCAAATTAGGTGGGTGGGAGGTCAGGAATTATGCAGCCCTGTGGCTTAAACTGCGGACAGACAGGTGTCTACACAAATGCAAAAATGTTAAAAGGGAGCAAGCTGGGGAGGGGGAGGAAGCCCATTCCCTCTTCTTGATACATTAGAAACCAGCGCTGCATCCCTCCCAAAAAGGAGCTAGGTGAAATCAAAGTGTTGCAAGGAGAGCAGCCATCTGAAAAGCCAAGCTAAAGGGCTGCACCCCTGCTCTGAGGCCAAGGGAAAAGAAAAAGGCTGTGCATAAGCCTGAAAACGGCCACCAAATACCCAGCCAGCCCTAAGACGGTTAACCTCCAGGAAAGACAATCTGAGCCTGCAGAGGAGAAACAACAGTAAAACATTCCCTCAGCCAATGCACGGGATACTCACAAATCAGATTTTTGTCCACCCCCAACAGAGCCCTGAAAATTAACAATGGGTTTTGCAAAACCCGCTTTCAGAGGCCGAACTAGCAGCCTCAGAGTGGGTAATGTAATTTACTGTTACAGGTCTGAGAATTGGCCTCACCACTCTGGTGCTGAGTGGGGAGTTTCAAGGTGACTGCTTTTTAGCTCCAGGGGAGAAAGGAGGGCATGGTGCCCAAGGCTGGGCCGGGGCAAGGACGGGAGGTTGGCTCCTCGCCGGCCGGTAGGTAGGTAATCTTGATGAGGAGGGACAGCCTGGCAGCAAAACTAGCCGCACTGCTGACATGGCTCCCGCCTGCTTGTTTATCTGTAAGGAGAGTGCGGAGTGGGGGGAAGGGCAGCAAAGCCTTAGCAACCTGGAGCCAAGGGTGAATCCTCACTTGTTTTGCATTTAAGATCAAGGGGAACGGACTTCTAAACAGATTCCCTTACTAAATCTCTGCTGTGGAGTAGCGAGGCCACTTTTGCATGTATAGTTCTTTTCAGGGTCAACCAGAGGCAAAGCCAGATATAGGGCCTCTCGCCGGACAAATGTTTGTTGCCTCGGCCACAGAAGAGAGAGGAGAAAAGAAGGCAAAAGAAACAAAGAAATCACACATTGGAAGTGGTTGGACTTTCTAAAAACCTACCTTTGCCTTCAGGGTTTTCTGGGTTACTATCATCCTGGCTTTTTAAAATGTGACTCATTGTCCCCCCCCCCCCGTTTAAAACCTGAAGAAGTTTCCCCACTGTTCTCCCAGGGAAAGAAAAGGGGGAATGTTTTGTTTAAAAGAAAAGGGGTTACAAGAAAGAAAAGGAGAGAAAGAAAGAAAAAGCCATTGTTCTCATCCCTAATTTATAATCCAAGAGGCCCCATTGTTTCTTTCTTTTTGACTCAAATCTTTGAGCTGTTAATTATAAAAGTAACTGGACTCAGCTCCAACAAGCGAACTATGTTCATGAGCAGCAATTAGAAAAACTCTGCAGAAAGTTTACTGAGTGATTATATATAATTAATTCCTAGTTACTTACAGACGGAACACTGACCATTTTCTGGAGCTAATAAAAGCAGTTACTCCCCCTCCCCCACGTGAATGCCACTTAATTTCCCAAAGCAGAAAAGTGAATCCATCCTGGAGGGTCTTGAAGGAAAAAAAAAAAAGAGAGGGAGAGAGAGAGAGAGAAGAGTCAAAAGCTCCAGTGTGTCTGTGTTTGTTCCTTGCAGCTGTGCATCCTCTTTGGGGACTGAGGAGGCAGAAGGAAAAAGGGAAACAGCCCAAGTTCTGTGCCTCCCTCTGAAATGTATAACTGTGGCAGAACGATCACTCTACCTTGATGTAAAAAAGAAAAGGGGGGGGGGGGTGGGCGGTGGGGAGGGAATGCCTCAGGACTGCAATGTAGGAGACTCTTCAGCTTGGCGGATAGGCTTCTCCTAAAAGGAACAAAGATGGTAGAAACTTCCAGAAGGCCCCTTCTCAGTCTGGCCACTGCAACTGTCAATCTGTAACCTTTCCTCCAAGTCTATTGGTTCAAAAGCTGGAGAGAGGAGCCCCATTGGGCTGCTCTGTAAGCCAGCACTGCTGTCCCTACCTAGTCCTGCTGCAATGCAGACATTTATTTTCCCCCCTTAGTGAAACTGGGAAATAAGCTACTTTGGAAGCAATTAACTTTTTACAGACTCATGCTTGGTGGTGGCCACAGTACCAGAGGAAAGTGGCCAGCTTGGTCCAGGGCTGGGAACTTGCTGGGACTGCACATCTGAAAACATCTTGGCTTTGCAAACCTGTAGGAGCCATTTTAATGCAAGCTTTTAGAGGGCAAATGCCTTGCCCTTAGGTTTCCTTCCAGCCCAACAAACACCATTATGCAAACGTTGAAGGCACCAAACCAGGAGTCTTGTGATTAGATACTGCTTCTAGGGAGGCCACAGGAACCTCAATATGTAATTTCCATTTACAGCCAGGAGATAAAGAACAAAGAAAATTGCTAAGTGTCTGGACTGACTTGTGTGGGGTAGTAGCACTGTTCAGTTTTAAGTACACAACATCATTAACTGCCTGCACTTCTTAACAACTCGAAAAGCTGGCCTCGCACCGACTTTTCTTAACTTAGAATTGGTACGTTTCTCGTTATTAAATGAGCCTTTTTCCAACTGATGCTAAAAGGTGGGTGGCTGGACACGAACTTAAAGGAAAAAAGATTATGACTCCATAAAGTTGGCATAACACAACAACTGACTATATTTCCAGCATTTACAGTCATGCTAGATTGGTCTCCAGGCTGGAAATTTATGTAGTGAACTTCTGGGCAAATTCTGAAGCTAACGCTACACAAGCGTCTACTTTTTTTCACTCGTAAGTCCTAGCTACAGCATTAAGAGATCAGGAGAAGTGTAAAAAGTGAGAAATAAATCATAAGTAAAGGCAAGCGTGCATAGAGATGTGTGGGTCAGGCCTGGGAAAAGGCCAAATCCGTTTGTTGTGCAGGGAGTCCTGAATCAAACCAAGTTTGGTGGTGGGTGGGATTTTACACTACAAGTATTCTAAATCGGAGTGCTGACACCCCCACCCCCCACACCACCACCAGGCTCCTGCCCTCACCAGTGTTTAAGGCTCGGTGACTCTAAGAACAAGCACTTTCATTACATTTCACAAGCAGATCACCTACCCAGAGTTCTAGCTAATACCCACACAATCCCAATTAAAGGTCTCCAGTCCAGTCACAATGAACTGAACATTTCTCCCCTGTCTGAGGGTAAACAGGAAGTGTGATCTTCAATCCTAGCAGCAGGTTATCAGGAAAAACAGTGGATTCAAACAGTCACCTAAAATCAAGAGACTATTAAAAAGCCCTTATGTGGTCCCTGCTAATGAAAAGCCCCCCCCAACTGCTGTAGCCAAGACCCTCTGTTACAAACAGACCCCAAATGTCCGCCAAACTCTTTATACATGGTCACAGAGGAAATGGATTGCTTTACTTACCCAACAAATGTTCAAGCAACCGTCTCATTTTTCCACAGTTAAGAAGAGAGAACAGGCAGGCAGATTTGGGACTTGATCAAAAAGGAAATTTTTTTTTAAACAGTTACATGGGATTATTAAAAACACACAACAACGCAACCCAACAACTGAATATGGAATATGCTGTCATGAGCCACAGACATGATTTTATTTCCTCTGTGCTCCATCACACAGGAGGACAGAGGATGATACAATGTAAAAGAGGGAAAAGAAAATGAAAACAAGGATAAAAGATCCATTAGTTCATTGAAAATCATGCAAGAGTAGAAAGCTAAGGGATTCAAAAAGAGTCCTCACAGATTTATTGCAGGATGTTGTCCAACCTCCCTCCCCCTCTACACACACACACCCCCCCATCCCCATCCCTACTCCAAAAACTTCCTCCAAAGCCTAGAAAACACTTTCAGAAACATTTGCTGGCTGTAGGCTGGCTTGCAGAAGAACACTCTGTATCAACAGAAGTCAGGAAAAAAGGCTGAACAATGTAGTTTCAAGTGAAGCAGCCCTGTAGGGAGAGAACAGACCATGGAGAGACACCACCACCCACCTAGGCCCCAGGAGCTAGGATCTCTCCTTAGCACTGCTCTGCTGAGGGCTTGGTTCTTTTTAAAACACACGTCCTTTCTTGTCAGAACTTACTCCAGCCTTCCCAGAACCTCTTTGGAGAGGGACACTTGCCTGCTTTGCTGTCTGCCATGGGCTCTCCTTGGAGAGGAGCCTGCTTGCTTACCTTCCATTTTCTTCCCCCAGCAGGCATGTGACACAGGAGAAGACAATAGTGCAGGGGGGGGGGGGGGAGAACTGCTCAGAGAGAGAGAGAGACAGGGAGAGAGAGAAAGAGAGGAGGAAGAAAAAAAAAAAAGGGAAAAAAAAAAAAAGCTTCTTTTTTGGCATTCCAGGATCTAGCTTCAAACTATTCCAGAAACACCATGTCCTGGTGAAGAAAAGGTGTGCCAGGCCTTTGCTAGTTTGCAAAATCAAGCTATGGCTAATGGCTACTTAGCCATGTGACCCAAGAAAGCAAAAAAAATTCTCTCTAAACAGTTCCAAGTTAACCTAAGTGCTGTGGGGGTGAGTGTGGCACGGCCAGCCACAGAGAAATCACACTGCTCGCCCACAATTCGGATGTCTCAGAGGGAGGGGGAGAAAAGATGGTTAAAAAGTCGAGCTTACCTCTGTGGATGCATTGTTAACACTGTGTAATGTCAATACTTATAAAACATGGAGGACAGGCTCCTAGTTCTCACAGAAAAAGGGTTTGGCACTTCGGCTTGATGATCTGGCCGCCTAATAAAAGCTCATCCCCGATTGGCTGCCCCGGCAAATCGGAGTGTAAGGCCGGCTGGGATTGGCTGAAACACTTCCTGAGCGATTATCTTTGTGAGGCTCTGGTGAGCAAGAGCCATCCTGTGCATAGAAAAAGACAGGCTAAGCTAGGCCTTTTGCAGCGAGAAAAACTTGGGAAAGGGGCCCCCAGACGCACTTCTCCCACACCCTGGCTAGATTTCCCGGCACGGGCAAACCAGTGCAGCCAGCCTGACCTGCTCCAGCAAAGCCTGAGGCCCGGATGCCACGGGGAAGGGAGTTTTTGGGGTGAGCTGAAAGGGCTCACCCTCACCTGCCCCCACAGAAACGGCTCTTGGCTGGGAGGAAGCCTGGCCCTTTTCTAGAACAATCCAGCAGAGTGGTTCTCCCCCGGAGGGGGGGAGGGGAGGGGGCGCGGGGACGGAGTGAAGCTGAGGAGTGGGGAGCCCCAGGAAAACAGCCAAGGGGGGCAAGGAAAAGGGGTTTGAGGAAGGCCTCTGAGGAGCTGAGGGAAAACAGGACAGACGAGCCCCAAGAAATCGCTACAAGACAGCCCTGGCTTCTCAGAGGACAGAGGATTCGGGCTGCTGGGAAGAGGAGGGGAGCAGAGTGGTCAAGTTTGCATAGTCATTGTCAAAACGCCTCCTGGAAAAGCAGGCCAGAGAGCCATTTGCCGGCAGAGAATCTCACTCCTCACCCCCCTCAGCCAGTACTCAAAGGAAAACCAAAATGGGTTCCTGCCTCCCTGCCAGGATGCCAACAGGGCCCCCCCCTCCGTCCTTACCCTAAGAAAAGCCAAATGCGCTCCTAGCAGGCCACATGCCTAGATCTACAAACTTCCCTTCCCTCCCGGCCCCCTCCCCCACCACTGAGGCCTGCTAAACCTGTCAGTTAAACAAAAATCTGACTTCCGTATTAGTCTGCAATGCCTTCAGCTTCCTGCCTATTAACCCTCTCTCGGACTCTGGGCCTGGCTGGGAAAAACTAGGCCCTGAGATCGCAAAAAAGGCCTGTGGAAAAATACCAGCTGCAGCTCTCCCGGCAGATGCAGAAAGAGAGAGAGAGAGAGAGAGAGAGAGTGAGCCGCTGTCTCTCGCCTTTGCTTCCCAAGGAGGCGTGTACCTTCTGAATCCAGGGCACAGGCAGTGCCTCTCGGTCTGAGAAGCCATTTAAATCCAGAGGGAGAAAGAAAGATGTCAAGCCCAGCAAGGGAACAAGAACCCCCATTATTAGCCAGGCCTACACCCACAGCTTAGCCCTTCCTGCCACAATCACCCCTGTATGTATGTTCTTGGGGAACTGGGCCCTCGGTGGGCAGACAAATCCCATGAGCTTTAGAAGGATTCTTGCTTAAATTTATTTCCACAGAGAACGGCTTCTTTTCGTCCCCTAAGGCAGATGGAAGAGCTACTTCACACACAGACCCACTCTTGGCAGCCCCCCACCCCGTCTCTGGCACTGCTCCCCAGTAAAATATTAACTAGTTTTTTAGAGCTCCTTATAATTCCACCCATTTCAATAGTATTAGGAGGTCTTTGCCTGTGTCTTCCCGAAAGCTGCCTTTGTAGTTGGTCTGTACCGAGAACGGAAAGACAAATCCAGAAGGATCTTAAAATGTCCATGCTTGCTTGCTTGCTTGCTTTTTTTTCCCCCTCAAAGACAAGGTGCTTAATTAACAAGATTTTTTTAAAACAGCAAGCTGTAACAACAGAAGCTAGATAAACACCATTCTTCAGAGGCTGGAGAAAGTTTCCAGAGGTGACGCAGCCGTATGCCAGGAGGTAAAACTATGGCCCAATAAAGTCTCCCCTCGCCTCCTAAAATTAGGACTCGTGGGCTTTCTGGTCCCACACCGTTCGTTCCCACAAAGAAAATGTAGAGCTGATTGCCTGCTCTCCCTGCCCCCACCCCCCCCCCACATGGACAACAGATGCCCACCTCGTGCACATAAATTCTTCCTGGCTGGGAATCTTATATCAAACAGGAACAAGCCAGGAATCCACACAGACCGTTCGGCAGGGGCAGGGCCCAGGCTTTATAAAAAGGGAGGGGATTTTGTTGCTGTTGTGTATTAAGCGGAAGAGGCCCAGATGCAGGGAGGGACACCTCCATCACCCGGCCTGACAAGGGTCCAGCACTCGGGACAGGCCTGGGCCTCACTAGAAGGGAGGGGCCCACTCTTCCTGCGGGTGGAGCCGTGTACAGGGAGACCAAGTGGGGGACAAGAGGTGGGGAGGCCAGAGCTAATCAGACCATGCTGTCCCTCCTGGCGGCGTGGGCAGTGGCCCTCCGCCACCATCCCCTAGGGAACACTGTCTACCCCTGCATGGTGCTGCTTTTGGGGGAACGGGCGTGTCTGCGAGTCTATGGCAGATCTCGTGTGCCACTAGCTTCATGACCCAATGAGGAAATGAAATACGCCACTGGTGCGCGTGGTGGATTTTAACCCAGGATTAAAGCTTGTTGCATAAGCAGCTGCAGAGTCCTCCCCGCTTCCCCCACCTCCCTCTGATCACTTGATCACTTGAAATGTTTTCTGGGGCAAAGAGCAGGAAGCTGCCGGCTTATTCTGGCAGCTCTGCTCTGAGGAATGCTATTGGCATTCTGGTAGGTCTGAGGTTATCAGAAAGACAGCGATTGGGTGGCGGACAGAGACAAAGGTATGGTGGCAGATGGAATCCTGGGAGGGACAGGGATTGAAAAGGAAGCCCGGGGCAGGCCTACTAAGGGCCAGTTCTGGGCTTGATGGAAGGTGGCTGATAAGCGGGAAATAAAGAAACCAAATGTTGCCAGCCTCAATCTAGAGACCATTCGGTGGCCCCTCTCAAAACACCCCTTTGCAGAGTAGCCCCAACAGCTCCGGCATGCTTGCCTGGGGCCTGGTACTGTGCTAAGGTCAGCACTTTGCACTGACTGACTCCATGAGGTAGGGAGCATTGTTACAGATTTGGAATCCAGCCCAGCGAGGTGAAGTGAGCTGTGCAAGGTCACACAGCTGGCAAGTGCCAGAGACCAGACTTCCACCCCAGTTAGGACTCCGCACCCCTAAACTCGGTACCTTCCCCTGCCTCTAAAGAAAGGGACAAAAGAGAAGCGGAACCAAGCAGAGCAGAAACAAGGCTAAAATCTACCAAGAGCAACTGCAGGATCTGTGTCTTCTTTTAGGAGATCGACTCCTTTGAGAATAAGTTTTAAGTACTGAATGATGGAGCTGGGAGACCTTCAGCTCGGACTCATTTAAGGCCCAGAGAAAGCTCCTCTCTCCCTACAAGCCTCCAGCAAGATGTTAAGTGGAACACTCTGCCATCCCTAAAATTAGGTTTTTATATTCCTGGAAATCAGTGGTTCTCAACGAGGGGTGGGTTTAGCCCCCCGCCCCCGGGGTGGGGGCGGATATGTGGCGATATCCGGAGACTTGGGGGTTTTCACACTTGGGGGGAGAGGTGCTATTGGCATCTAGTGGGTAGAGACCAGGGAACGTTGCTAAACATTCTACAGCAAGGGGCCCCTGGGTGGCTCAGATGGTTAAGCGTCTGCCTTCGGCTCAGGTCATGGTCCCAGGGTCCTGGGATCGAGTCCCGCATCGGGCTCCCTACTCCTTGGGAGCCTGCTTCTCTCTCTCTCTCTCTCTCTCCCCCTCTGTCTCTCATGAATAAATAAATAAAATCTTAAAAAAAAAAAAAATTCTACAGCAAGGAACAGACACCCCACGACAAGGAATTATGCTGTCCAAAATGTCCACAGTGCCGAGGTAGGGAAATTAATAAGCAGTGAACTAATAAAAATAGATTAAAACATGTCTTTCTTAATATTCCCAGGGGATGGAGAGAATCAGGAGACAGAATCAGGCTTACGGAAGCCAGAGTGTCTCAGTGATAAAGCTGGTCTCAAAGGAGAGGAAGAGCTGACCCGGCTCCCTTCCCCGGGCAACTTACTGCCGAGGCCTCGCTGAAATGGCTCTCCCCTCCTGTGGGCCTGCAGCCAGGCGAGCAGCCGAGCTGCAGCCTCAACAAGCTGCATCCCGAAGATAGCCCGGTCGCGGACTAGGAAAATAAGCACGCTCGGAGTTATCTGCCTCAAGCTAGCAGCAGGCCGCTCGGGCCGTTATGTGAAACAGGCCGTTATGTGAAACGGGCGGGATGGAGGCAGGGAAGTGTTTTAAATATCTTGTTTTGTTTTGTTCCTTTTTGGCCAATTGGAACCGAGGCCACCTTCGGGCATGGTGACAGAAGGGCTCACCTTCAGAGCATGGAGCTGACCGAGTCATGTTTACAGCCACAAAGAGGTAATTAGGACTTGTCCCTACCTTAAGAGAAGAGGTGCCCTCTGAAGTGTCTTTTTTTTTTTTTTCCTTTTTAAACTTCTTCCTAGGAGGGGCTGGATCAAAAAAAACGGAGGCAGGAGGGAAGGGCAGGTGGAAAGGGGGGGTGCGGGGTACATGACCATCAGGCAGATGGCCACAGTGTGGGTGCGGAGAGACTTAAGGGATGCAGGAAGAAAATGACAATGAGAAGGAAGAAGATTCAGGACCTCCCCTTATCTGCTCTTTTTACTTCCTAGCAATCACCATTATGGGAAGAAGAGCATGTATTTCTCTGCTGTTTGTTTCTTTGTCCCACTAGACCAGTGGCAATGTCAGGAGACGTTTTAGGTTGTCCCATCTGGAGGAAGGAGGATGCTATTGGTATCTAGAGGGTACAGACCAGGGATGGTGCTAAACACTCTACCAAACACAGTACAGCACCACCCCCCGAAAACTAGCCAGCCCCAAGTATCACTAGCGCCGAGGCTAAGAAAGCCTGCCCTAAACTGAGAACTTTAACAAGGCAGAGCCTGGTCTGAATTCCTCACCTTTGTGCCTGACAAGTGTCAGAGCTCAGTTAAACACCACCTCCCACCTGGACGGGTGCACTCATCTCCTACCTGAGCCCCCCTATCTGCCCTTGCAAATGCTTTCGGGGACAGGGAGTTAGACTAGGAAGAAACTGGGGATTTAGACACACACACACACACACACACACAGGCTGCAAGCAATCCTTTGAAGCCAGACCTCATCCTTCCTCTGCTCAAAACCCATCAGTAGATTCCCACCTTGTTCAGAGTAAAAAGCCCAAGTGCTAAAAATGGCCCACGGGATCAGTGCCTTGCTCCCGATCCCTGACTCCACTTGTGTTCTTCTCCGCTCCCAGGGTTCACTGTGCTCCCGTCACCCTGATCCTCCATCTGTTCTTTCCCCCGCCTAACCATCCCCTCCCTCCTCCAGCCCTTTCCCCTTGATCTCCTACTTCCCCTCCCCCAGACCATCTCCCCTGCTACGGAAACCACCTCACACAAACCCGGTTCCATCCTGGGCCTCCACATATCTGCCTTCCCGCCTTCCCTTCTGCCATCACATGCCCCCGCACCCCTCCCCACGCCCTCCCGGATGCCTCCCCCTCAGAGCCCTCTTCTTCCAAGTTAACCTTTCCTCTTTCTTTCCACATCAAGAGGCAGAACCGCGCAGTGATTGAGTGCGTGGCTGTTGGCGTCAGATTGTCTGACGTCTGGGTGTGAATCCAGCTGCCCCACTAGCCAGCTGGGCAGCCTTGCTTGAGGTACGAAATTCGCTGTGCCTTGATTTCCTCATTTGTACGATGGGGGCAATAATATACCCACCGGGAAATTCACTGGATCAGGGAAGGGAGGTCAAGCACTAGAGCCCCACAACACACAGTGAGCACTCATGCAGTTGCTGTTATGTTGTCCCTCTGTTTGCTCTTAGAAAGGAAATTTCTGGATGCTTCCAAGTCATTTTTCATCCTCTTTTCAACATCAAACTTT